TGGCTCAAGTGGTAGAACGCTAGCCTTGAGCTGAAGAGCTAAGGGACAGCACCCAGGCCCAGAATTCAAGCCCCACAACCAACAACTACAATAAAATATATAAGCAAACAAAAACAAAACTGAAAATAAAAGTAAACGTAGAACAAGATCAAAAATACCTATATATAGATATTTATACAAGTAACCAGCAAAATGGAAAGTTGGGCTTATTTGGTATGGAGGTGCAGGCCTAATTCTAGCACTTGGGAGGCTAAGGTAGGAGGACTGAGAGTTAGAGGCTGGCAGAGACTGCTTAGCAAGACCCTGTCTACACAAGAAAAGATTCTTATTGTGCAGTAGTGATAGAAGAATCTGTTCTCTGGCATTGTTGGCTAAAGAAGTAGAGCCAAGCACTGGTGGCTCACACCTAGCAACTCCGAAGGCTGAGAGCTGAGGATATGATGGCCGGTAGCCAGGCCAGGGAGGAAAGTCAGCAGGACCTTTAAATTTAATGAACCACAAAAACAGAAGTGGCAGTGTAGCTCAAGTGGTAGGTGCCAGCTTTGAGCGAAAGAGCTAAGAGACAGCGCCCCGGCCCTGAGTTCAAGTCCCAGTACTGGTAAGGGAAGAAAAAAAAAATCTGGAAGGTGGAGGGAATGCCTTCATGGGTAGAGAGGACTAGGTTTTCAGGCTCCAGTTAAACCCAGTGAACAGGGAGACAGCGGCTTCGAGGGGCCAGGCAGTGCTCGGTGAGGAGGCGGGCTCCGGGGGCCCAGAGCTGGCTCATTCTCCCACTTATTCCATAAACTCAGGGCTGGCGAATGGCTCAGGCACGCTTAGCATGTGAAGTGTCCAGCATCAAAAGAAAATGGAGTACACAAACACACTGGATACACACAAATGCACATGTGTGTGGGGCGGCGACCTCTACCCTAACCTCCCCCGTGGTCATGATGGGGGAGAGGCCCATCCTCCATGCACCTCTGCTCACAAAGAACCTCCTCCTATTGCAGCCTCGCTAGCACCTGCTCCTGGTCAACCCGTGCCAAGATGACCAAATACCTGGTTAGTAACCGGAAATGAGAGTCGTCTTTCTCATACTCGGAGACCCGGCCCCCGCAGGCCGGCCTGGCACACACATACGGGCCCTCAAGTAGCCCGAGCCTCACCGAGCCTAAGTGAACTCAAATCCACGCTCCGGCTCCTGGAGGTGCAGGCTCTGCTGGTCCTGAGCCAAGCCACCAGCTTTGCTTTGGGCCAAGTGAAGAGATCAAAACATTCTTTGTAGAACGAAAGCCATAGGCAAGACCAAAATAACTGGGGGGAGAAAAACCACCCACTTAGCAACTTGAAAGAAGAATCAAAAGTACATCCTTACTTTTATAAGTTTAAGTGTCTCATTTCTCTCTCCCTCTTTGTCTCTCTGTCTGTCTCTCTCTCACATTGTGTCTGGTTTTATGTATGTCCCTGGCTTCCGATGTGTCTTCCCTCCAGGACAGCATCCAGTGTTTATTAATTTAATAGAAAACATTTGGAACAGATTCTCGAGGCTGGAGCCACTGTCCACTCCGTGCTGTTATCGTAGTAAGAGCTGAAGCTGTGCGCTCCCAACTCCACGCACACACTATTATGCTTTGTGTTCAACAGAGCACAGGGTTGACAGTTAATAAATCCTGGGTAATAAACATGGACGAAGTTCAAAGTACCACTATGGGAAAGTACCACTCAGCACACAGTCAGGTGAACAACGCCCCCTCCGCAGATCTGATCTGGCCACACATGCAGGTGCCTCCCCCTGCCCTGTTCTAAGACGTGGACTCGGGGTGCAAACAGATGCATGCATACCAGACTTCAGGCCTCAGCGGGGCCTTAGGGAGAGGTAGAGGCAGGAAGGCTCTTTGGTTCATTTCTCTTCCCAAATGATGGTTTAAATGTAAATAAAGCAGAAACAGCCTACACAATCAGGAACGATTCAGTAGACGCAAAGCCACAGAGCGACGACAATCACGTCGTCGGTGGCAGGCCAGAGGAAACGGATGCTTGGTCCGGCCCATGGCCAATGACAGCAAATGGAGAAAAAGATTCAAAGCTAGAGTCCAGAAATCCAAATTGGCCCCCATGTTAATTTGAAACTGCTTGGGGGTGGGGGTGGGGAAAAGAAAGCAACAGTATTTCCAGCTGAGAAAGAGCTCGTTAATATCCTCACAAAGCAATAACTGCACATAATAGGAAATATGATGATGTCTCCCGAGAACAGAGAAATGCAGATTTATTCTCCCATCCATGCAACTCAGTTTAATACAATCTAGTCAGTGGAGCTGAATAAATACCAACAAGGCTAAAACATTGATTAGGAGAAATACTGCACACTACTGACATCCACACACAGACCAGATACAAACAAAAACAAACAGCAAGCGGGCAGGGAGAGGAAGGAACTCTGGTGATCTGCGGGTACAGCTGCCCAGCAGGGAAGGGCTTCCGGTGGGGAAGCAGGTGGGGCACCCCCTTGGTTCGAGGCTATCGAAGGTTGCCTCTATTGGCTTCATTACAGTGTTTTATGAAGCAATCAAGAGACATCTCTGGCGAACCTCAGGATCGCATTAGATGCATACTGTAACAAATGGCTTCCCAAAGGTTGCTGGAACTTGAGTAAAAGGTCTCCTGTGCGTGCCGTGGTGTCACATCATTTCAAAGCACATGTCTAACCTGAGCCCAAATAAAAATCAGATGTCTGAGGTAAAGAACTGAGAAATTCAGAATGGCTCCTTGCTAGCTACCTTCATACTGGACAAACTTCATCTCTGTAGAGCTATCTCTCTTTCAGTCACTGAAGATCACTGGCTAGGAGGAAGGTCCAGATCAGCTATCTCATGCTAAATACAGCTGTTTTCAAGTCTCTTAATCATCACTAGATCTTGGGGTGAAGGGACTGAAAGGAAACATGAAGTTCCGTGCTGCTGTGCCCCCAAACTCAAGCTGCCACTCACAAGAGGACACACATCTCTTGAAATGGAAAACAAAGTCACTGGCAAATTGGAATAGTATAAATGCATCAGAAAGCAGGTGCTGGTTGCTCATGCCTATAATCCTAGCTACTCTGGAGGCTGAGGTCTTAGGATCCAAGTTCAAAGCCAGCCCAGGCAGTAAAGTCCTTGAGACTCTTATCTCCATTGAACCACCAAAAAAGTCAGAAGCAGAGCTGGAGCTCAGGTGGCAGAGTACTAGCCTCATGTGAAGAAATGCTACGGGACAGCCAGTGCCCAGGCCTTGAGTTCAAAACTCGGTGCCAGCAAGAAATTCACGACTGTGCCAGTAGATCCTCAATGAGATTCTGAAAGCACAGAAGCAAGCCCTAGGCTCCCATAGCTCATTCCACTTATGGGGCAGCCCTGTGCAGCTCCACTATGCTGGGGCTCCAGAGCAATGCAAACACAATGTCACAATGAAGCTGTCACTCAGGTCTTGTGCTGTGGGGACCGGACAAGACTTGGCGAGACTGCTGTTTCTTTCCACTGCTGTTTCTCAGTATGGTGTTGCTGTTGCGGCCTGCTTACCTCGCAGGCTGCCAAGTCACAACACACCCTTGCAGAGGGCTGCACGGCCATGCTTCTGTGCACACACTGTGGCATTGGGGAAGTGAACTGTCAGCCTGACGTCACCAAGTGACGTCCAAGTGAAGTCCAGATCGGCTGACATGTGGAGACCTGGTTCTTTAGCCACACAGAGGCCTGGAAACACTAGGAAGGCTTGCGGTGTGGATGCACCCCAGGACTGCTGTCTTCCAACCCTCCACTAAGCACAGCATAGACAGAGGTGGGGAGCCAGCGGGCGTGGGGACAGGTACTCCTTGTCTTCCACTTTGTCCCCTAACTTTACTGAGGAATGCACCCAGGCTCCCATGACGCAGGGAAAATGCTCTGTGTCTGAGCAACATCTCCAGCCCTACAGTTCTATTGCTAAAGGCGAGGTCTCTCTATGTTGCCAGGCTGGCCTCAAACCTGTGAACTCCAGTGATCCTCCTGCCTTAGTCTCCCCCATACTTGGACTACTCCAGCAGCCTATTGCACCTGGTGCCAAATTCAATACGTTATCATCCACATGCCATAAATTTAAAGAAGTACATTTCTAACCTCTTTTAGTATATTCTCAGGTTTCTTCGCTCCTAACCTCATTCCCATGAACATTCTCCCTTCTCCCCAACCTCTCTCTATGGAGTTATGTGTTCTAGAGAATTCACACACACGAATCGTGTCACACGCACCCTTCTGTGGTGGCACTCTCCCCTCGGCATGCAGTTCTCAAGCTTTATCATGTTGCATGTATCGTATCGCATTCCTTTTTCACAGCACAATGTCCCACGGCGTGGGTATATATTGTTGGCTCTTTCTTCAACCGATGAGCTCCACGGTGTTTTCAGCTCTGTACACTCGGCTCCTGTCCTTAACCAGCCTGGACACCTCATGTGTGACTCGGCTCCTGTCCTTAACCAGCCTGCACACCTCATGTGTGTGACTCGGCTCCACTGGCTCTAGACCTGCTGTTTCTATAACTTCATTTTGTGCTGGTCCTGGGGCTTGAGCTCCGGGTCTAGATTCTTCTTGAGCTTTTTTTTTTGCTTAAGGCTGGGGCTCTACTACTGATGCCACATCTCCAGCTTTTTGCTGTTATTTGGGAGTCTCACAGATTTGTCTTCCCAGAAGGACTTCAAACCTTGGTCCTCAGAGCTCAGCCTCCTGGGTAGCTAGGATGACAGGCAAGAGCCATGAAGAGAGTGATATGTATTATATTTTACTGAAGCTGTTTTAAAACTGCAAAAACGCTTCCCCGCTGCAGGGAAGCTGTGGCTGCTGCCATTCTGGTGGAGGTTCCAAATTAGAGGTTGGCAGGCCAGCCTCGGCAGTGAGGCCACACTGAGCGGGGAGATCAGCACAGCTCTTCGACAACTCAACTTCTCCACAACAACGTGTGAAGTAAGAAGAATCAATACGAATACAAAGAAATAAAAGTCACATACTTGGTTCTTTTAAGCTTATTTAATATTTGAACTCTTATTTTCTATTTTCCCAGACCCCAGAAAACAGAAAGTTTTTAGATGACCAATATTTTGTTCCAGAAACATACAGCCTTATCAGCTAAATTCATAAAAGAGCTATTTTACAAAGGTACATCTGGATAATTAGAACAATAAAGTCTTTTAGGCATTTCAAAATGTGATCAGTAAAAATACATGATATTAATAAAGTTTTTTTTAAAAGATAGTTCCAGATTTCTTTAAAAGCAATTTCTGTTAAAGAGTACATGATTGCATGGTGAATAAGGAAAACAGAATGTTCTGGAAGGAAGAGGTTTGTTAAACACAGCCAGCCGTGTACACTGCCCATTTCTGTAGCTCGTCTGCTTAGCAGTTGGAAATGGAGGGGAGAGTTTCTAGGAGGTATTTTGTTTTTTATTTCCTTACCCATTTATTATCAAGACCCTCAGTTCAAATGAGGAAGGTATAAGGAACAAGACAAAACAAACTCTCGTACAGAACAGTTTTGCAGAGCACTCTGAGAAGGGATGGAAGTGTCAGGAAAAGAACACAACTGACAAAGCAAAACCGTGGGGGGGGGGGGGCAGCCCACAGGAAGCCGTGTGAGTTCCTGCTAACTTGATATTGGTACTGGAAGGCCTCAGGCCACAGGGTCACCCGCCATGATGGGGAAGGAAGCAGCTACCTGGCTCTGACTCGTGAGTGGAAGAGGCTGCCCTTCCGAGCAGGGTGCACCAAGCCAGGTACCGCACCGCAGCAGCCTCTTCAAAGGGGAGAGACACACGAGGAACTCAGAGGACGTGAGGAGACACGCAGAAAACTCAGAGGAAGTGAGGAGACACACGGGAAACTCAGAGGACGTGAGGAGACATGCGGGAAACTCAGAGGAAGTGAGGAGACATGCGGGGAGCTCACGGGAAGTGAGAAGACACGAAGGGAACTCACAGGAAGTGAAGAGATATTCGGGGAACTCACGGGAAGTGAGGAGACACGCAGGGAGCTCATGGGAAGTGAGGAGGGGACACATGGGGAGCTCACAGGAAGCGAGGAGATACGCGGTGAGCTCATGGGAAGTGAGGACACATGCAGGGAGCTCGCGGGAAGTGAGGAGGGGACACATGGGGAGCTCACGGGAAGTGAGGAGACATGCGGGGAGCTCGCGGGAAGTGAGGAGACATGCGGGGAGCTCGCGGGAAGTGAGGAGGGGACACTCTTTCCTTCAACTTCTAAAAATCAAACAAAAAGGGCTTTTCTCTACTATCCCAGTAACTCTTTCCTTTTTCCTCCCCAAATAGCAAATAAACAACAACAACCAAAAATCTTTTAAAAAGGAAACTCATCCTTTCTAGCAGTTGTTACAACTTCTTTTGGGGAGAATAAAGCCAAGAAAGAATAAAGCTCATGAAACAAACCTCCCATGCAATACAATAAATAATTACAATTCAGGTGGTAAGAGCCAATGAAACCCCAGTAGTCTGCATCAGCTGATTTAAAGTATACAAAATACATGGATAGGGCGATCATCATGACTTTGAATTACAGCGCTTTGAGGGCGTGCTGGTTGGTTAACTCTGTCCTCTGAGAAGGAAGGAGACATCCAACTGTAATCTGCCACTAAAAGCAAAAAAAAAAAAAAAAAAACACTGACCCATAGCGAGGGCAGGGAGGCAGGGAAGGGCAGGGGGGCAGGGAAGGGCAGGGGGGCAGGGAAGGGCAGGGGGGCAGGGAAGGGCAGGGGGGCAGGGCGGCCGTGAACAAGCAGCTCTGCGGCTCTGGGCAGGCCGCATTGGGCTTCTCTGGTACGCTCATACAGAACCCTAGCCACGGAGCAAGGAGAACACCACTCTCAAGCTAACCAGCCCTGCTCAAAGGCAAGAGGAATGAATGCCTCGTCTATCATCCTGCCAGGAAGATAGAACATAAAAGTCAATCGCCTATGATTATGAAGGCTGCAATGAAATGGAGGGCGTTGAGAGGAGGGAGGCTGGGCGGGGAGGAGTAGCTGGATAGGAGGGACAAGAAGATGGAAGGTACAGAGGGACTGTTCCAGAATTCACTTTAGCTTTGTTTGAAAAATCTAGATATTAATTTATTTGCTAGAACTATGGTTGCAGGTATGCTTCCAGTTAGCACTATTATATAGTTCTAAAGAGGGTGAAAATGTAGAGGACAAAGGCGAATCGTCACAAGGGACAAGGCAGTGCTGCATGGGAGGGAAGAAGCCCAGGCCTGGCCAGCCCGCACTCTGGGGATGCTGGGTGAGCGTGGTGTCTAACGCTGAGATGCGTGTGCCCCACACTTGCTGTCTGATGAATGCCCGCCCTGCTGTTTACTGTGAAGTGGCTACAGGTATAATGCTTATTGTAGTGGGAGTGACAGTTATTTCCAGCAGCTTTGCAACCATTTGGTTTCTACTTGCTTCTCCTAAGAGATACAGAAAGTTCCACATCCCAAGCTTCATTTATATATTAGCTTGTGCTTCTAAAATTTTAAATCTTCATTTTGAGTTCAATTATACTTGGCCTGTGACTCAAAATGTAGCTCCATTTTCTAGATGAGGTACACAGATCCCAGCGAACCCTAGGTGGGCTCCAAGAGGGCAGAGGCAGGAGTCTGGACAGGTGGACGCACTCACGTCCTGGGGGCGTCTAGAAAAGCAGCCGGCAGCCCCGACCGTGGGCGGTGAGCAAAAGCTTCCTGAGGAGGCAGGGTGCAGGGAAGAAGAAAGTGACATCCTGACTCTTGCTCCCGAGGTCAAAGGACACTACTAAGGATGGCCAATGCGTGAACTTTCTGCGCATTAACAGAACTTAGATATTTAATACATGGTTTTGTTTTAGTTGGCAAAATACTCCCCAAATATAGTTACCCAATGCACAAAGAAAACCACAGCAAGCCGACAGGGCTGCGGGAGCTCTCAGCGCACCGTGCTGGCGCCCACTCGCAAGGGGCTGAGGGTGACTCTGCATCCTCCAGCAGCAGCCATGACCCCTGGCTGCCGGCCAGGCTGTGGCTCCACTCTGGGGCTGCACCCCAGCAGTGAAAGGGAGCAGCTCTCCCCCTTCTCCACCACCTCCTCTAATGCCCTCAGCTCTCCTTGTGACTCCAAGAGCCCTTTGGCACCATCAGTGCAAACAATTACAGTCAAACCTCCAGGTACTGATATGTACTGGCCTATGATCAGCAGTACCCGTGTCCAATGACAGCCCTGGTTCAACTCAGCAGTGATTCCATTTGGACAAGCCCCACCCCGCCCCTTCAGCAACCCACCACCTGGAAGCACTGCCACCCGTTCCTTCTGACTTCCTGCTCAATCTGCAGGGTGATTTTACACAAGTGCCAGTCTAACGTGTAACCATAAAAATGAAACAATACCAAGAATAACAAATTTATAGTAAAGAAAATAAAAATTTGCTTTCTTCTCCCCCCCCCCAAATCCCAACCCTCAATAGAAAAGACAATGACAGAAGAAAACACACCCATTTTCAAGTGCCTGCCATTTAGTATGTGGAGGATTCCCGTTAATCAGGGGAGCTTACCTCAGATGGGCCGCACACAGCGTGCGTCCTCTGCACACGGAGCCCTGAGCCTCACCGTGCCGGGTGACCTCACAGGGGCAGCCTGCCACCCAGCAAAGGCCAGGCCTCCTTCCGCCCACCCTCCTCACTCCTGCTGTTGCCTCTCCACCCCGCTCTCACCCCTGCCCCACCCCGTCCTGACCTCTTCACTTCAGGAACAATGGGTTCTTGGGTGTATTAAGTACAATGTCTAAAACTCACTATTCAATTAAAACAAAACAAGGCAAAGTCAAAATTAAAATGTGCTTTCAAATACGGAATGAAGTCAAATAAATACATCTGATTTTCTCTTTTTCTTACGCCTAAGTACAATTTCATATCCTACACCCAAAGCTCTGTACATTTGGTTTCTGTTCTGAATCGAATGGATTTGCAGTGGTGAGGAGAGGAACATGAGGGAATGGGCGTTCCCTCACTGACAGACCAGTGCGGCTTCCAGGCTGAGGACACGCCCCTGGTGGGCACTGCTGCTTTCGGGCCCAGTGCTGCACGGCAGATCCTGTCCCACTCTGCATTCACACTGGAGCCGGGACATGGTTCATACAAGGCCGATGCTCGGAATCCAACAACCTGCAGTCACCTCCAGCGCACTCTTAACTTTGATCTGAGAAGAACAAAAAGCAGTGCAAACCACATTAAGAACAAAGGAATGTGACCGAGAACCCCTATGCAATCTGGGGCTCGTCATATTTCTGGGTCTGAACTGCCCCATCTGGCAGAACACCAGCCACGGAGCACCACTGCCTGGAGCATAGACTGGCCTGCATCCAGAGGCCAGGGGCTCCCCGTGAGCAGAAGCCTCCAAAACAGTTGGGCCCAAGCCCCCTCACCAGGAAGGGGGCTGCCTTGAGCCAGCACAGGAAGTGGTTCTCCAGGCTTCCTACCACTCCCCTCTACCTTCTGCTTTTAAAGAGTAAAGAGAGGGGAGGGGCTGGCAGGGAACTGACAAGTGCAGTTCTCTGAAAGGCAGAGTTAGCAGACAGAAGCTTCTCCTAGATATATAATGGTTACAAATAAGATGGACAAGAAAGGGACTCTCCTTGGGTTGTCCCATGAAAGAATGCTAAATTACTTATCCAGGGTAAGTCTAGGCCACAAGAGCTTCACACACCTGAGTGCTTTTCTGTGAGGGCTGAGCCAGCCAGCCTTTGGCAAAGAATGCAGTAGCTTTCCTCCACCTTCTGTAAAAGAAAACCCACAGGTTTGTGTTTTTGTTACTTCATGTGGATGGCAACAGAATAAAGAAAAACTATCAAAAATAGAAAAGAAAAATTTTTATATTATAGATTCGTGCTCTCAAAGTTCAACTTTAACACAAATCATTAAAAGCTGTCAGTAGGAAAGGAAAAGTCAATCTTTTCTTTCTCTGAATGACTAGCTTCACACTTCTCCCACCCCGGAAGTCACCCTGAAGAGGCCGGTGGCCCTCAGCCACAAGATGACACAACCTCAGAGCTGAAAGCATACTAAGGGAGACTAGTCTTTGGCTAACAGGCATTTTTCAGTGCGTGCGTAAAGCCTCCCAGTGAAGTGGCGTCCTGAGAACAACATGTGGGCTCCAGCAGCATGTGGAGTGCCAGCTGCAAGCGGCCTTTCCTTGGAAGCTGGCCGCCACTTCAGCTTTGAACCAGAGATACCTTCAGCTACCAAGTCACAACACATTCTGCTCACAGCCAGGTTTCTGCATCACTGGAGCCAGGGGAGCACCTGGGCCGGGGTGCAGCAGGGTCATAGCACCACCCTCTCGGTGCAGCTCATGCGGCCAACCCAGCTCAGCCCACTGCCCCAGCCCTTCCTGCTCTTAGACTCAGAAGCACACACAAACACAGTCAGAAAACTACAGTTCTTCCCACTCCCATGATCTGCTGCAAGATAAACAGTGTTGCTCTCAGCTTTATACCGAAGCCCTATCCATAAATAAGGGTCAGAGAGAAGATACAGATCTAGAGCATGGCCACGTCTGTTGACATCGGCATTTCAGTCACTCCACATTTGCACTCTGCTAAGTAGTTTTCTTAAGGTCAAGAGCTATGGAGGTTGAGGTACCTTTAGGTGTTCAAGGTCAGCCTCTATCTTATGAATATATTCCAGGATCTGACTCTGTGAATCTGTACAACAGGGACTCTGGATCTCAAAACAGGAGCCCTCCAAAGTCCCCCAGCGCCGACGGCCCAGGAATTCCGGGGTGAATGGTGAAGCTGCCCCATCAGAATGAGCGCTCTGGGGAGAGGGGCGCTGCAAGTGGGGGGAGTCCGCAGAGGGCAGGCCCAGCCCGGGCTGCAGGGCGAAGGATGACATGACCTCCTCATCTGTGGAGCTCTCCTGCACCGCTTCATAGCCATCGAGGATTAAACAGTTTCCTGTTGGTAGAGACAGCCAGGGTGAGGTTACCACTGCATCGGGAAATCGTGAAGTGTGGGCTCTGAGGACAGCTCGGAAAGCTACTAAGGAAGCAAAAAGCCAGAATTTTCTTACAACTAAGCAAACTTTCATGACAGCTTCTGAATGATTCCATACTAGTAGCATTTTGAAAGCTTAAATGGAAACTATGAAGTCCCTTCCTATAGGATCCTACAAGGTCTCACCACCACCTTCTGAGCCTAACACCTTTACCTGGTCTCTTAACATTTTCCCCTCCACCCTCCATTCCCTAACTACAACAGCCTGCTCTTGTCAGGCACCGGCAGCTCATGCCTGTAATCCCAGTGAATTGGTAGGTTAAGAGCTGAGGGTTGTTAGTCAAAGCCAGGCTGGGCAGAAAAGTCTATATTAGGCTCCCACCAACTAACTAGCACACAGATCAGGCCTGGAGGTAAGACTCAAGCAGTAGAGCAAAGAAACAAAGCAAGAGCACAGGCTCTAAGGTGAAGCCCTGGTAATGGTATATGTATCGTGTACATACCTGGACACACACACACACACACACACACACACACACGGAGCTTGCTCTTGTATACGTATCGTGTACGTACATGGACACACACACACACACACACACACACACACACACACACACATGGAGCTTGCTCTTGTATATGTATCGTGTACGTACATGGACATGGACACACACACACACACACACACACACACACACACACACACACACACACACACACACACACACGGAGCTTGCTCTTGCCAGGAAGCTGAGCGTTCTCTACTCTGCTTGAACAAAGCTCTGGTCATGCACATGGCTTTTCCCTCACTTCATTCAGGTTTCTGCTCAGCAGAGCCTCTCTTGATCTCCCTGTCTGCCCTCGTCACTCTCTGCCCAGCTATAGTCAGATTTATTTCTTTTCTCAATCTGACCTCTGTTTGTTTGTTTTCTTATGTGCTATTACACTTTCTCTTACTGGCACTTAAGCTTCATGTGGACAGGAGACTGCGCTGCATTTTATTCCCTGCTGTATCTCCCAGCTCCTAGGATGCAACCTGACACAGTGGACTCAGCACCTATGAGTGGCATGAGGACACAAACAGAACCAAACATAGAGCTACATACGCACACGAACATAGATAATGCATTCCAGCATACGAAACGATCAACAACAGTAAGAATTGAAGTTTAAATGTGAAAGAAACATGCCTGAGATGCGTAAGGTAACATCCTTCTCCTCCTTTGTCTCCGCTCCATCGCCTTCTGGTAGGTTATCCTCACCATGGGCTTCACGGGCATCAAAAAAGTGCTCTCCACTCTCATCAGGACCCCCTTCCGACTCCGTGGCCGGTGCTGCTGGGGTCAGAATCATGTGGTCCATTACTAAAATGTTACTTGCCTGGCTCTCTTGGGATGCCAACACTACTGAATCTGGGGGAGCAGAAGATTCAGTTGAAGTCCGTGGACTGTGACAAGTGGCAAAGTCACCAGTTCCAGTTGTAAAGGACACCTGTCCATCACCAGGATGATAGGCCTTGATGTGTTCTGAGTTCTGGACTCCACCATCTGCCTGCACCCCCTGAGACGCTGGCTTGTGGCTTGGGAAGTGCTGCCAGGCCTCCTGAAGGCTCTTCTCGGTCAAGACAAACTGTTGTACCAGCAATTGCTTCAACAAACCCACTGAAGAGTTGGGATGTGAGAGAGCCAAAAAGAAAAGGACATTCACAATCAGAGCCCCGCACAACCAGGATTAGCGGCACCAAGTTACCATTATCTCTAAAACTAAAACCTTTTAATAACAAAGAACCAAAGTATTATCATCACATAATCGTTGTTGATGTTGCTGTGCACAAAAAAGTGCCACTTTTTAGGGAAGACAACACTAGCCAGACCTACAAAAATCAAATACTTTGAACAGGGAGAGGCTCTGTTCACAAGCCTCAGGTTCACACACCGGTCCTGTGTTATTTTCTATATAATTGGACCAACACCCAGTAGGGGCTTAGGATACTGAAGGCTATGTAAGCTAAACCAAAATCCTATAAGTTCTGATTTTTTTCTGGGAGCAGACTCTATAAACATAGAACTTTTTTTTGAGGCACATTGAATATGTAGTAATTAAAAAAAAATCTCCCTAACTGAGGAAGGCAATAAAAATGTCTTGTAATAAAATTTAAATCTAATGATTTTAACTGGGCGCCTGTGGCTCATGCCTATAATCCTAGCTACTAGGAGGCTGAGATCTAAGGATCACAGTTTAAACCCAGCCTGGGCAGGAAAGTCCATAAGACTCTAATCTCCAATTAACTACCAGGAAACCAGAAGTAGTGCTGGGCTCAAGTGATAGAGCAGTAGCCTTGAGCTGAAGAGCTCAGACACAGAGCCCAGACCCCAGCGTTCAAGCCCCATGACTGACAAGAAAAAAAAAAAATCTAGTGTTTTTTGTAGTAGTCTATGTAACTTGAAAAGGTAACAGGCTGTACACCAGGTTTTTCCCTCACTAGTGGTACAGGTCCTTCAGGTTGCTGAAAATAAGAAGCAATGTCAGGAAGTGGCACTGTGGCTCAAGTGGTGGAGTGCTAGTCTTGAGCTGAAGAGCTGAGGGAGGCCCGGAGTTCAAGCCTTATGACAGGAGGAGGAAGAAAGAAGAAGAAAGAAAAAGAAGAAGAAAGAAGAAGAAGAAGAAAGAAGAAGAAGAAGAAGGAAGAAGAAAGGAGAAGAAAGAAGAAAGGAGGAGGAGGAGGAGGAAGAAGAAGGAGGAGAAGGAAGAAGAAGGAGGAGAAGGAAGAAGAAGGAGGAGAAGGAAGAAGAAGGAGGAGAAGGAAGAAGAAGAAGAAGAAGAAGAAGAAGAAGAAGCAATGTCATTGGATATGGGCTTAAGAAAGGAGAAGAAGAAAGGAGGCGGAGGAGGAGGAGAAGGAAGAAGGAGGAGAAGAAGGAAGAAGAAGGAGGAGAAGAAGAAGAAGAAGAAGGAGAAGAAGAAGAAGAAGGAGAAGAAGAAGAAGAAGGAGAAGGAGGAGGAGGAGGAGGAGGAGGAGAAGGAGAAGAAGAAGAAGAAGAAGAAGAAGAAGAAGAAGAAGAAGAAGAAGAAGAAGCAGCAATGTCATTGGATATGGGCTTAATTCCTATTTTGCATGGCTTTAGGTAAGCAGTGCCCCTGTAGGTCTGAGATTCTGACCGCCTCCTTGCCTTTCTGCCCTACATTCACTTCCAGAGAGAGGCCACGCAACAAGGCCTGACCCTGAATTCTCTCCCCAAAATGCTAGCCGTAAAACCCCAAATTCCTGCTTTTCACGTTCTCTTGAATGGCTTGCCACTCATTATCTTAATCTTTTCGTTCCTTTTTGGCAGTCCTGGGATTTGAACTAAGGGCTTTGTACTTGTTAGGAAGGTGCTGTACCACTTGACACAGGCCCCAAACCCTTTTAGCTTTAGTTAGTTTGGAACAGGGACTCCCATCCATGCCCAGGCCCAGCCCTGAACCCCAACCTTCCCAATCTCTGCCTCCCAAATAGGATTACAGGCATGAGCCACTCTGCTCAGCTTTAATTTTGACATTTGAAAATGGAGCCCATTATCTCTGCCAAATAAAAGGAAAAAATAAATAAATAAGGTGCAGTAGAGGGAGGTAGGGGGCAGTAGTGGCGCATCTCTGAAAGCTTCCTTCCACTCAAATCCTTCAGTAGCTCTCAGCCGGACCAATCTGTTTTTATTAGTCATAGCTAGTATAGCCAGAGCAACTTTTCTGATTTCACCCACCTCATTATAACAGAGCGGTATACTATCTTCCCTTTTTAACAGTAATTTTCAGCCAGTTAGGGGAGGCAGCTAAGAGGTAAGTGCGTGCGTGCATGCGTGCGTGCGTGTGTGTGTGTGTGTGGCGCACGCGCTTGCACATGTGCACATATGTGTATAGTGTGGGATATGGTGGAAAACATACTCTCACAAGAAAGCTAGAATACATGTGGCTTGAAAAAGCTCTTACACCACTGCAATGCGTTGTTCTTAAAGAGGACCCAGGCCAGTCCTGGGAGTTCAGAAGAGCTAGCCTACATCTCCCTCTCCCCAGCTTCTCTCACACCCCTTTAACTTGCAGTGTAGTGTCTACCACGGGCTGGCCAGACTGCTCACCTCTCTCTCAACAGTTGGAAGTTTTCTGCCTATACCAAACCATTGTTCACATCTGAATGGCATCTGTTCCACATACCTGTTTGAATCTTACCCCTCCTCAACATAATGATCACATTTCTCATGCTCTCTACTGCATACTCCTCTGGTCAACTAACCTAAATCGATTCTGACATTCCTGCATTATTATCATTTGCACATTGACTTTCAAAGGTGGGAATGAGAGGAGGTGGGTTTCTATATCTTTCCAACTAGACCCTAAGTTTCTTAAAGGGAAAAATCATCGTTTCCACTTCCCTGGATTCTCCCAAATGGCTGCTCAATACATTATACAACTCTCAAGCTTGGGAAGCATGTGCAATACAATAAAACTTACAATTCCTGAGTGCATCCAGAGCCCACCGCTCATTTGAGACCAGCAGGTGTGGATCTGCGTGCGTGAGCTCCTGGCTCCCTCCACTTTCCTTCAGGGCCTCTGCACACTGCTCCTTTGCCAGCTGTGCTGCAGTCACAAACACTTCATCTGCCTCCGACTTCTCACCAGGACTCAGTGAATGACACTGAGGTTTTGATGAGATTAAGGGAGGTTCTAGACCCAAATCTCTATCTATGTAGTAGAGAAGAAGAGGTAAGGCATATCATCTTAATAAAACTTCTAATAGGAAGCATTTGGGAAATATGTAGAAAACAACTCTATGACACAAGCATTTGGGAAATATGTAGAAAACAACTCTATGACACAGGCTATATCCACAAAGCAAGCAGCATTTCGAGCAGTGTTAATTACACCAGTACACAGAAGGTCCATAAGCAAAGTTGGCAGTTGATGCTAGAACCTGCACAAATCAGGGGCCCCATAGTATTTTGCACTTTACTAACAGACCACATTCCTCCAGGAAAACTCATGCTCAGAGCTCACCTAGACTCTGCTGAGCGGGAAAGCTCATGCTCGGAGCTCACCTGGGCTCTGCTGAGCGGGAAAGCTCATGCTCGGAGCTCACCTGGGCTCTGCTGAGCGGGAAAGCTCATGCTCGGAGCTCACCTGGGCTCTGATGAGCGGGAAAGCTCATGCTCGGAGCTCACTTAGGATCTGCTGAGTGGAAAAGCTTATGCTCGGAGCTCACCTGGGCTCTGCTGGCCAGGGGCTGAGATGTCGCGGCGCTCCACTTCTAATCTGGGTGGTTCTTCCTCATCATTGTCTCCTCTAGAGAAGAGAAGAAATAATCCTTTAGTTTTATGAACATCACTACACCCAAATATAAAAACTAGCCACTACTTTTCCGAGCAAAACCACAAACTCAATCCCCCTGCAGCACAGGCACCACTCACTCGCACGGGTGTGACTCCGGGAGGGGGATCGGCTTCGTAGACTGCTCCTTCACTGACGCAGCCATTCGGCAGATAAGGTCCTGCCAGCTTCAGAAGGTGAGAGCGAACCCCAAAACAAAAGAGAAATACCTTGGTCAAACTTGAACAACCTTGATGTTCGGAAAGGAGGGGTGGGGAGGAGAGCAGAGAATGAATGAAGGAACTGTTAAATTTCTTTATTTTGATAACCTACTTTTAGGTAGAAGGTCTAAATATACTTCAAAGGAAATTTTAACATTATGGATACACCACCCATTTAGAAATTTCATGAATACTTTCGAGAATTTCTTTCCCTGGGAAAATTTACTTTTAATAAAACAGAATAAAAATGTTAAAAATCAGCCTAACAGGGAACAAGCACTTAAATGTTTCTAAAAGAATATACAGGAAAAACTTAATTTTGATATAATTTTGGTTTTAGAGTCCTATTATAAAAACAAAGTTTGTGGATTATTATGCTGGGGATAATTATTAATTACAACAAGGCAGATAAATATGATACATACACAGTCTTTTCAGAAACTGTCTGTGCCACCAATTCATAAATTTGAGCTCCATTGTCTGACATGGAGATGACGAATAAGGCTTTGTTATCTAGAAAAGAATAAGGCAAAACTTACTCTACCACTTTAATCAGCGACCAGGAGGGATATTTCTAAGGTTGTCTTAATTTGGATAAAGGTTGCATATTCACTTTGCAAAAGTTCATCAAATTAAGTAAGCAACTTAGAGTATGTCACACTACATAAATTTCAATGTAACCAAATGTACAACACACTTAAGTATCAGAATCCAAATCACTAAACTGAATGTTTATTTTGAACTGCTGCTTGGCTAAGTTTTTACTTGGAATGTCTAGTCAATAGTGAAGAAAAGAGGTCACACATTTACTCTGTCAGCATGAAATTAACAAGTTCTGAAAGGATCTCATTATACAACTAAATATAACTTGTCATTATAAACTCACTTTAAAAAAACTCAACTATAAGCCGGGCGCTGGTGGCTCACGTCTGTAATCCTAGCTACTCAGGAGGCTGAGATCTGAGGATCGCGGTTCAAAGCCAGCCTGGGCAGGAAAGACCGTAAGACTCCTATTTCCAGAAAACTGGAAGTGGCTCTGTAGCTCAAGTGGTAGAGCGCTCGGCTTGAGCTGAAGAGCTGAGGGACAGGGCCCAGGCCCAGAGTTCAAGCCCCACGACCGACAAAAAAAAAACAAACTCAACTATAGCCACCTCTTCAGATTTGCTTTGTTTCCACCAAATCAAACAACATACACCAGAAGCAAAAACCTCTCATTGGAGAACCTCTCCATGCACTATCTCTCCACTGGTTGTCTATCAATGACTGGAACATGGAATAAAGTCCAAAGCAATTTCAAATACACAAAAATCACTTAAAGAACCTAGGCACCTTACATAATCTTGGGATATAAACTTTTAATTTACTTTCTTAACGGTAAATAAATGTCATTCAATTTTTCCTAAGTACATGAAAATAACAAAACTCTCTGGAGACTAGTTGTGCTGCTTAACCAACACCAGATAGCTCATTCAACTTTAGGGTCCAGCAGTCAGTGTCCTCCAGTGGGCATACTTGCCTGTTGCCACTTGTCGAACTAACACTGTGTTCAGCTTGATGACAGGACTGAAAGTGTGTTTACTGTCAGCTGTGGATGCCAGAATCTTGCTGTGACACCTCAGCACCAGTCTATCATCCTGCTTCTGTAGCAATACAAGGATGTCTTCCAGCAGCAATGTATATAGGTCTAGAAATAAAAATGCAGAAATGGTACACTGAGATGTATAATAAACTTTGCAATGATTTGATAAAGGAAATTATTTCTGGCACTCTAACAAACTTAAAAACATTCATTTGTATATTGTCTTCATTCTTTATTGAATGTCATGGAAGAATCAGTCTGTAATCCAAGACAAGTAAAGGGGTAGTCCCTCACCACTGACAGTTTTTGTTGTTGTTGTTATTTTATTTATTATTTTTTTGGTCGGTTTTGGAGTCTGAAATCTGGGCCTGGATACTGTCCCTCAGTTCCTCAGCTCAAGGCTAGCACTCTACTACTTGAGCCACAGCACCACTTCTGGCTTTTTTTTTTCTGCTTATGTGGTGCTGAGGAATCGAACCCAGGGCCTTATGCATGCAAGGCAAGCACTCTACCACTGAGCCATCTTCCCAGCCCCACCACTGACAGTTCTGACAGGTAGTGGCAGAAAGTCTACTACAGATACTCATTAGATACAAGAATGAAGGAAATGAAGCTGAACCATGACCAAGTTTTCTCCTCATTCCTATGTGAATATTGAACACACTTCACACTTAATAAAATAACACAAGCAGATCTTCTATCAGTGTTCCACAAGCACTGTGAATGATTCTTTCTTCTTCCCTCTGGCATGAGGAAACTTTGCTGTTCTCTTCCTTCCTCTACTTTACACAAAACTGATTATCAGACTTACCGATAGTTTTATCTCTATTCACCTTCCAAACCAAGGGCCCTTCATGAATCATCTTTCTTTTCGTTAAATCCAAATTCTGCCAAAGAGAATTATATAAATATTATTTTCAAGCATATCTCATCAGTGGAATGATATTCCATGTAATTTAGTTTCTTTTCAAAATCTGTCTTAATATAAAAGATACTTCTACATTCATTTGCTGTAATCAGTCCTGAAAATGGAAAAGTCGATGTTAAAATAACCTACATAAAATCTAAATCTCCCAAATTTCACTAGGTTACAAAGCACTTGGTCACTACATTTCTAGCTCATTCTTTTTTTTTTTTTGGGGGGGGGTGGTTTAACTGAGGATCGAACCCAGGACGTTGTACTTGCTAGGCAAGCGCTTTGCCACTGAGCTACATCCCAGCCCTCAGCTCATTCTTAAATGAATGCTGCATGTGCTTATCTGGAAGAGGCTTCTAAGTCCTAAAGTTTTCATTCCAAAGACAGTTTTAAGGAACAGCATTCATCATGAAGAGTCCAAGGACTCTTCATGCTTGTTCTATCAATAACTTATTAGTAAGACAAGCACCTTTATTATTAATAGGAAAATCTTTCTCTTTAAGTTAAACTGTTACATATGACAATGAAGCCTATTCTAAAGCAGATCAAATCTGCCAAAACAACTACTAAATAACCATCTGAAATGGTATAAAAAGACTTAAAACCTTAATAAGTTAATTAATAAAAATCCCAGGTATAAGAAGCGGCAATTAACAAATGCTTTACACTATCATCCTTGTAATGGTTTCAACTTTAATGCTTTTCAGGAACTTCATGGAAAAATAATTACATTATTGAACTTTACCCAATGATGTGGAAAGTTCTTGTAATAAGGAGTCAAACTATGAAACAGTCAAATTAAATTTACTAAGAGTTAGTTCCTTAACTTTCTGACAATTCCTATTGTCTACAGTTCTTTCTCACAGATTTTCCTCAAATGAAAGATAAAGGTAATCTTCACAGATCAGACATTTAAAAGGCAGAATAAAACCATAAATGTAGATGATCTATGAAAAAAAACCCTCCATCAAATGATGGATACTCCCTGCCAGGTCTTTAGTACATTTTGATTTACTTTTAAAATATGATTAGACTATATCTTACCCTGAGCTCTTCAACATTTGGGTACTCTGACAACTTGAGATTGGAGGTATCAAGGCGACGCTGATAATCTTCTAGGCGCTGAAATTAAGACAGAATGGAGCAAAGGTCATTGCTTTGGTCATCAATGATCTCTCTGTTCCTAAGTCAAATAGAAATCTTTGGTTTTTTTTTTTTTTTTTTTTTGCCAATCCTGGGGCTTGAACTCAGGCCTGGACACTATCCCTGAGCTTCTCTGTACTTAAGGTTAGCGCTCTAGCACTTGAGTCTCAGCACCACTTTCAGCCTTTTCTGTTTATGTGGTACTGAGGAATTGAGCCCAGGGCCTCATGCATGTGAGGCACTGAGCCACATTCCCAGTCCGTCAAATAGAAATCTTGAATCTGCACTTTCCTGAGCTCAATGCAACGCCGCACATGATTGACAACTCAAGTCTTTCTTTAAATGCTTCTTCTCTTGGCTTTTGCACTCTACACTCTCCCACCTTCCCTCCTGTCTCTTCAGCTGACACTCTTTAATATTCTTTTCAAATTCATTGGCCTCTAACTACCTTATGCCTATTTTCTGAATATGAAAATCATGCCCTTAATTCAAAACTCAGAAGGTAATATAAGGCACACAATAAAAAGAAAGTTTTTTGTCCTTCCCACCTCCCAGCTTTCTCTAAAGAAGCAAACACAAATGTCCGTTTCTTGGGTTGCCTGTGAGAAAAAATCCTATGCAAATAGACTATATGCATATATCTATGTGGATTATGTGTCTGAGTAGATCCTTTTAAAACAAGATGCAGTGCAGTAATAGATCCATGTATGCATTCATTTGTTACTTCCGTATATATCTCTCATTCCAATCATAACAATGTAAGCACACGTGTTCCTCAGTGTGTGTGGATAACAATGTTTCTTGGACACAGTTTCCCATTACCATAGAATGATACCTTACTTTTGTCAAAAGCAACAGTATTCAACTCTGGGAATGAAGTATATAATTTATTGAACTCTGCCTTACTAAGAGACACACACACTACTTCCAATCTTTGCCAATAACAAATAATACTGTAATAAAGTGGTCTTCAACATATTCATTTGTGCATCCATAAAGCTATACTTGTAGAATAAATGTTAAAATCATTGGATCAAAGGGTACATTAACTTTTCCTCAATATCAAAACCTAATAAGTACATGGAAGAGTCTGAATGCTTGTAGTGAATACCTACCTAACCCAAACTTGTCATTCTCAATTGTATTTGTTTGGGTACATATCGATCGGTATTTACTCCTCTGTCTATAGTATTTGACACATTTAAAACAGATTTTTAGCCAGGCATCATGGGCTCACGCCTATAATTCTAGCTGCTCAAAAGGCTGAGATCTGAAGATCATGGCTCAAAGCCAGCCCTGGCAGCAAAGCTCATGAGACTCTGAAAAAGCCACAAGTGGTGCTGTAGCTCAAGTAGTAAAATACTAGCCTTGAGCAAAAGGAGCTTAGGAACAGTGGCCAAGCCCAGGGTTCAAGGCCCAGGACAGTCAAAAATAAATAAAATAAAATAGATTTTTTAGACCTAAATATGTTTCCCTTACATATTGTAGCATGCAAACCATTAACAATAGTTCATTTTGGAAAAATAAAACTTACATGGAATGAAGTGCACATATAGCATCCAATCTTTCCATTACTTAAACAGACCACAGTGCTTTGCATAAAATGCCTGGGCTTTCACACACACGGCTCTATTTCTCCCTCTACTCTGGGCTATCATCCTCTTCTACACTGTTTTTGTTCATTTCTATTTATCCTTCAGAGTGTGGCTCCAATGTCAATTCCACAAGAAGGCTTTCTTGGAGGGCCACTACCTACAAGCCCCACACAAGGCTAGGTCCCAGCCAAGCTCACATCACTCTGAAACTCCTTCACAGCCATGTGTGATGGCAGCCATGTGTGACTACTCTGCTGTCGGCTGTCATGTGCTCATATTCTCAACCTCTTTGTACCCTGTGACCAGGAAAGAGAGCAAGTTGTACAGATGCGTGCTGAATGAACTAGCAAGCAAGCAGCTACCAATGTACAAAAAAAGTAAAAAAAAAAAAAAAAAACACTCTAATACTTTGTCATAAACTGATGTGGATCCATTACAAAATCAGTCAATTTCAGATTCTGGGTAATGGTAAGTTAATGTTCTCTAGCACCACCCTATACCTTCTTGCTCTCCCTTTTTTACCTGTTTGTTTTCTGCCTCCTTGACAGCCTGATTTACATAATTTAAGATCTGACGACAGTGATCCGCAGCTTTCTTCACTTTTTCCCTTTCTGTTGGCCATTCTAAATATAAAGAAATAAAAAATGTAAAAGGAGATTAAGGAAGAAAAAGAAATGTGTATACACAGAGACATGTGAGATGTCATTTTATGAAAAAGTTAGAAGCACATACTAAGACCTTTAGTATTTTTATGCCAGATTAAAACCTATAGCAGAATCTCAATTCATGTAGTTTTTAGACAGGTGAGATTTCTGATGACACTACTTTTGAGACTACAGAGGCATGTGGGGGTATACTCTTATAACCCTAATACTTGGGAGGCTGAGGCAGGGAAATGTGAGTTTGAGACCAGCCCAAGCTACAGATCCTGCCTACAGATAACTCCATGGTAGGATGCTTGCCTAGCATGTGTGAAGTTCTGGAAGGAAAGAGACAGAGGGGAAGCGGAAAGACTGCTAAGTATGACAGCATGCACCTGTCATCCCAACTACCTGCGATGGGGAGCACAAATGAGAGGAGAATAAATGGGAGGACTAAGGGCAAGGCGAGCTTCAGCCCAAAGGTCCTATGTGAAAATAACTTTAACAAAGGAAAGAAAATGACTGGGGATACAACTCAGGTGGGGGAGTGCCTGCCTATAAAATACAAGGCCCTGAGTTCATACTACACCCCAAAAAAAAATCATGTACAGATACAAAACATTTCTTACACCCAGTATAAACCTTCTTCAACGGAATTGGAGATGCTAGAGCAAGGATGGACAAACTTTTCCTATAAAAGACCAGATTATAAATATTTCATACTTTGAAGCCAATGGCCTATTGCAACAACTCTACTCTGCTAGCGGAGCTCCCAAGCAATGAGAACATGCAAACTGATGGGCGCAGTTGTGTTCTAATAGAATTTTCCCACACAAATAGGTGGTAATTCTGATTTGGCCTGACTCACACTTTGCAGAACTCTGCAAGAGTTTCTCATAGGCTACATTAAGTCAAACAGGTTGCAGAAAATGAGATTAAATCTTGTTAGGAAGTCTTTCTATTCAGAAATCCAACTGCAGGTGCCAGGACACCGAGGCTCGCAGGACATGCTCTGTTTGTCTTGTTGTTAGCTTTTTTACCTCTGTGGTAACACCCTACCTGTGTACTTGGCGATGTTATCCAGAAGAAGTGGGTATTTCGTAAGCCTCTGCATCTGGGTGGGAATGATGTCCTTTAGCTGAAGGCGGCGACACAGAGGGTTACTCTCAGCATCCTAGAGTTAAGCAAAGTAAGTCTGTAATTCTCCTTATGACAATAACGACCTACCATGTGCCATTCACCTAAGTGTCTATAGCATCACATTTCTTGGTTATTTAAAAAACACCAAGGCAATCTGTTGCCACACCCTCCTTTTGCTTTCCCCTCTAATCACTTATTGGGGGAAGGGAGTTTCTATCACTAATCCAGTGGTTTGTTTAAGCAACTACTGAAAGCATCTATAACCAACTCTAAGATCTGCTTTCTTGGATCTGGCCAAATTGTAGTCATATCCCTAAATCATTACAACTATGGTATGAAAAATTTGCATTCTGTGACCACATTGTCATAATCCTGTTATATTGCAATTAAACGTTGTTTACGAAAACAGGTAGCAGGCTGGATAAGTTTACAGACTTATCTGTTCCAGTATACAAGGCTACTTCAAGGAGTATGTCTGCTATTTAATCTTCTCTGGCCTAATATGCGTTTATACCCATGATTTTTTTGGGGGGTGGGGGTGGGGGTGGGGAGTCTGGTCGTGGGGCCTGAACTCTGGGCCTGGGTGCTATCCCTCAGCTCTTCAGCTCAAGGCTAGCGCTCTGCCACTTGAACCACAGCGCCACTTCTGGCTTTTTTCTTTTTGCTTATGTGGTGCTGAGGAGTCGAACTCAGGGCCTCAGGCATGCAAGGCAAGTGCTCTACCACTGAGCCACCTTCCCAGTCCCCCATGATTTTATAGTGTTCATTTAACTGTACAGATGGCACATCTTCTGATACAAGACCCCATATAAATTTCTATGTCAAATACTTCAACCTTAATCACGTTTTTATTATTCCTCATTCTAAAGTCATTTTTATTATGCCTTCCACTAATTTGACAGATGTGCGTCTTTTTAAAAATGCTAACAGAAATATAATCCTTGTAAAAAGCAGTTGATGTCAGAATTCCTTAAGTTCATTCTATAACTAACTTCTTTTAATGCTTTCTTCTTATCATTGCTTATGTGACTCACTCAACTCACTTGCACAAAAGTCTGGAATCGAGAATCCTTTTTCTGACGAGACTTGATCATTTCCAGGGCAAAAGGCTGGTTGCTGCAAAAGGTAGCAGCAGCATGTTTCAACTTCTCCTCTCCTGGTCCACTGAACTGTGCCAAGAATGTGAGGAAAACAATAGAGAATGAGATCCTGAGCTTACATAAGGTTACATGAGAGACAACCACAATCCCTTTGACATTCCAGGAAGCAGTCTCAAGTGACAGAAAACACAGGACTGTGGATTTATGGGACCATCCATGGCTCTCCACTAAGAAGGTCTGACTCTGATACCGCCAGATCTTTCCTGAACACATGCCAATGATTTCTTGCTTGTAGCCTACCAAAACTTACCACCTTTCAGCCTACACCACCTCTAGAGTGGATATTTGGAGAATATACAAAAAGCCTGGAGACTGAGATTAAAATTTCATTTTTGTAGATTCTGACACCTTCACAAACATCATTCATTTAGTGTTCCAGGAAGGAAATCCTGTGTTGCTAGCTTTCTTATTGTAAAATGTACCATGCTTCTTGGCAGAGAGGAAATAAAGTAAAATCACTGCCGCTTTACTGCTACAGAAGCGGAGTTGGCTAAGGAGAGATTCATATGCTCATGAGCATCTTTTGTTAAAATTACTAATATATTTTAATTTGTAAATTTAAGTTTGAATATTCCTTGACTCTAAAGTTTCTGGATGCCAAACAAATGTTTCACATGTGCTATCAAATAAATTATTTTTTAAATACAACTTCTGTGTTTACAAACAAATGCTTTATGATTTACAAAGTAGTTTACTAAATATTCTTTCATTTAAAACCATATTCTTTTTTTGTTGTTTTTTGGTCGGTTGTGGGGCTTGAACTCAGGGCCTGTGTGCTGTCCCTGAGCTTGTTTGTGCTCTTGGCTAGCACTCTACCACTTGAGCCACAGTGCCACTTCCAATTTTTAAGTGGTTAATTGGAAATAAAAGTCTCATGGGGACTTTTCTGCCAAGGTCAGCTTTAAACTGCGATCCTTAGATTTCAGCATCAGAGCCCAGCTAAAGCCATATTCTCAAAAGTATATAAATAACACATTTTACAAAACATTCTGTTGTAGAGTTTTTGCAGATAAATTAGTTACTTCAAGTTGCTCACACATAAAATGATACTTAAGGGCTGGGAAGGTGGCTCAGTGGTAGAGCGCTTGCCTTGCATGCCTGAGGCCCTGGGTTCGACTCCTCAGCACCAAATAAGCAAAAAGAAAAAAAACGGAAGTGGCGCTGTGGCTCAAGTGGTAAAGCGCTGCTAGCCTTGAGCTGAAGAGCTGAATGACAGCACCCAGGCCCAGAGTTCAGGCCCCACGACCGGACCCAAAAAAAAAATAAAAAAATAAAATGATTTTTAATAGGTCAAATTTTATACATTCTTATTCTTTAATAAATATGACTCTCAGGCTGGGGATGTAGCTGTAAAGCATTAGGCAAGAAAATGTTTACAGTAAAACCAAGGTGGGAATTGGTTAAGATTTGTTTCCATTCTGAATCAAGTTCTTTTTGTAGTAAAAAGAACTACCATTAGAGGAGCAGACGCCAGGAGATGGTCTGACCACCGATGTAAGCAGTAAGATTGTCTTTAGTTAATTTGCTACAATGCAACCTCTTAAAAATATGTAATGTAGAATTGTCATTGGCATTCACTCAAGAAGTATTTCAGTGGGCATATCTAATCCACTCCTGTTTTGTTTATGTTAATTGTTTGAGAACTAAACCATATACTGTTGTATTATTTTCACCTCAACTAGAGAGCACTTTCTTCAGAGTCAACCACTTTCCTCTAGAAGGTTTCTTGTATGTTCTAGTCCAGGTCTCTCTGCTATACATTCAACAACAACCTGCCTCCTTCCCTTCTTGTTATAATGATCACGCGCTATATAACCCGCAGGTGATCTGCCCATAAAGAATGAGGAGAGCTCAGACAACAGGAGTCACAGCTCTTTGGATGTCACTATGCTCCCAGTGCCTTGTATAACCCAATATACACTGACAAAATGTGGCAAAGAGCTACTAGAGTCTCTCAACACTCACCTTGTTCTCTAACTAAAACTAAGAAATTTTCACTTTTCTACTTTTGTGGCAGAAGAAGTGGACCACCTACTTTTAGCAAGATCCATTTACTCTCTAGCCTGAGCACTAATTAATCAAGGGAATACTTACTTTGAACTCAAAAGCCTCCCACTAAACTTTGCAAATGAGTAAACTTGTATTTGGAATGGTTTGTTACTTAACTTGAAACTGATTTTATAGTCTGTCATATAGTTAAAAGGAGAAAGAGAGAAAAGCTCCTCATCTAAAAAGAGAGAGGTCTCTCATCCAGAAAAAAAGAGAAAGGCCCTCACCCAGGTGAGTAAATCTTCTCCAATTTCATCCGTCACAGAGGTCTCACTCCTTTTTCGAACAGCCTTCATTTGCTCATTCAACCCAACTAAAGAAAAACAAAATTAAGGACACATTTATTCCAGGCTGAATTACTAGTAGGACTAAGCAGCTCAATTTTCAAAGAACAAAATTTTCAAAGAATCACAGCTGTTTTTAATCTTATACACAATCAGCATGATGTGTATACAGCTAGATATTGTAAGCTCGACCTGAGAAACAGGTGCTAGCTAAGTCGAACATTTTAGCAGCTAGTACATGAAATGTACAGTTGTGTTGCATCAAATAAGCATGTAACCTGAAGAATCCATTGTACTACCATGTTCAGAAAGAACTTCAAAGCGCAGGGGATTCTGATCATTGTTCTTCCTGAAATCTGCATCTTCATAAGCACCAGATAAATTCTCATAGAACACAGACTGCCCACAAATTTTTAAATGTCATCATTTTTGTTGGAAAGTGTCAATGGTTAAAAAGGACCACAAAAATATAGTGACCCATAAAGAGAGGAACACTCTACTGCTATCTTCAAAAGTCCACTGTAAGGGGGTCAGGTATCGTAATGTACCTCTGCAACCCCAGCTACTCAGAAGACAGAGACGGGAAGATCACAGTTCAAGGCCAGGCCAGGAAGTTATTTAGCAAAATCTTATCTCAAAAAAAAAAGGGACTGGGAACATGGCTCAAGCAGTAGAGTTCCAAGCCCCAAGAGCAATTCCTAGTACTGAGGGGGAAAAAAGTCCCAGATGACTGAACTAGAAAAGGTCTTATGAAAGGGTTTCAGTATATTTACAAAACGTGTTCTACACAATGAAGCAATAAAACAGCTTCTAAAAGTCACCCTGAGATTATATATTACATATTACTATTTAAAAAATAAATTTATACGTGTATTATTACACAGGATTATCTATATAGAACTATATAACTGCATATTCTAAGACAGGAAAATTTCAAAGGTAATTTTGACTTCTCACATTTTTCAGCATAAATACTTTTAGATTCCAATCCTATGTCGACATTTTGTTGGGGCTGGGAAGGTGGCTCAGTGGTAGAGTGCTTGGCTTGCATGCATGAGGCCCTGGGTTCGATTCCTCAGCACCACATAAGCAGAAAAACTGGGCACTGTGGCTCAAGCGGTAGAGTGCTAGCCTTAAGCTGAAGAGCTGAGGCAAAGTGCCCAGGCCCAGAGTTCAGGCCCCACGACCGACAAAAAAAAAAAAAAGACATTTTGTATTCCAAAGGCTGATTATGGGGAACAGAATTTAGCCTAAGACCCAATTGTTTATTTGTATTAAGTGATCACATATAATTTCAGAAATGCTAACATGGATATATTGACAAAATTACATAAAATTATACATAAATGTATCCAAGGTATCTGTAAGTATTCTCCATCTTTCCTCTATTAGAAGTGTAGGGATAATGATCAGACCAATTTCTCTTACTGTGAAGTTGAAGAATATCTTCCAGGTTTGAAAAAATCTTCCGTATCTCTGAAGGTGACAGAATTCCTTCCCTGGATACTCGCTGATAGAACACTTGATCAAGAACCTTCAGTGTTCGGACATGAGCTCTTTCTGTGTAGAACAATTCTAAGTTGAAAAAGAGAGAGAAAGAGAGAGATGAAATGCTGCCTTATTTGGACTAATTCCATGGAACAGTCTTCTATTAGAATTAGGAAGCAAATGAGTTGTATAATAAATTATTTAGCAGTTAAGAGATTGCATGCTTCTGAACTCATTTTAATTCCATGAAATTCTCCAATACAGTGGCTGAGTTGAAACAACAACAACAACAAAAAAAAAAACTCATTCAAATTATTTTACACTTAAAAGTTAACTGCATACCCCCAAACTCATTCACCTGCTTGTAATCCCTACCTATCATAACTAGAATATTTGAAACTATGTAACCTCCAGGATTAAAGAGTCTTAAATTTGAGACTTTTTCAGAAATAATAGTACTTCTGCTTATCCAATTTGCCCATAAATCCTCAATTGTAGAGCCAGGCCATAATTTCACCATGTCAGAGATGGGAAAGATATATTCAAATCACATCCTAGGGAGAGTACAGGGCATAGCATCCACGCCACCTATCTACTATAAACATGTTAGGGTAACTGAAGAACACTGCACCAGAATACAGGAAGAACTGGATCTGAGTTTTCCTCTCATCACTGATTATATGTGTGATCTTGATTAACTCCACTAATCTTCTGTGCTTTCCCTTGCTCTTTATCATCTATATGCAAAAACAGGATCGTGTCTCAATAAGTCTCAACTTTGAGATCAATAAGGCTATGACTCCTCAATATCTTCAAAGCTAGATACCCTTTCCTTTTCAATTATCAAGATGACTCCATGGGCTGGGAAGGTGGCTCAGTGGTAGAGCGCTTGCCTTGCATGCATGAGGCCCTAAGTTCGATTCCTCAGCACCACATAAGCAGAAAGAAAAAAAGCCAGAAGCGGTGCTGTGGCTCAAGTGGTAGAATGCTAGCCTTGAGCTGAAGAGCTGAGGGACAGTGCCCAGACCCAGAGTTCAGGCCCCACCACAGGACCACCCCCCCCCGAAAAAAAGAAAAAGATGACTCCTAAAACCATTTATACATTTTGATGGAAGGGTTTGAGAATCAGCCATCTCATTGAATTTCATCTTTGTTTAAAACAAACAGTTAAAGGAAAAGAAAGCAAACCCCATAGCTGAGGGGTTTACTTACTCTAGTTAAACACAGTGCCATGTATGGACAACAGCAACAAATTAATTCAACTCACCATTAATCACTTCCTGTCTTTTGATCTCAGAGGGTTTCAGTCCCAGTAACACTTCTCGGCTGACAAGCTGCTGCCAGCTGGGTGGGTCAGTCTCCAGGTCGTTTTCAAATTGCTCATCCTCACTCTGACTTTCTCCAAAGGCTGTGCTGTCAAACCTGAGGAAGAAAACCAATGAACTGTGTCCAAGAGCTTTAGGTGAACAGAACATACAAGTCTTAATATTACCACCAACTCATCAGATTTCTGCATCTGATTTAGCACAATGCCAAACATTCGCCTCTCCTACAAAATGGTTTTAAACAGGTTATATTTAAACACCATAAATATATATATTTTTGAATGAGTCAGGCTTATTTATATTTAAACACCATAAATATATATTTTTTTGAATGAGTCAGGCTTATTGTTGACATTCTTTTATCATATTTAAGAGATTATACACAGGGTTTCTTATCCTTTATCACTGGAACATCAGAAAAAAGATCTCTTGGGCTGGGAAAGTGGCTCCATGGTAGACTGCTTGCCTTGTATGCATGAGGCCCTGGGTTCGATTCCTCAGCACCACATAAGCAGAAAAAAACAGAAGTGGAGCTATGGCTTAAGTGGTAGAGAGCACTAGCCTTGAGCTGAAGAGCTGAGGGACAGCGCCCAGGCCCAGAATTCAGGCCCCATGACAGGACCCCCCCAAAAAAGAAAAAGATCTCTTAAATGAAAGCTACTTCTCTGTACATCACCTTTATAGTAACAATTTAAAGATTAAAAGAAAAAAATCTAAAAAACAAAGAAAGCTATTTAAGATTTACTTACTTTCGAAAGGGCTTTGGTGTTCCATGTTCCGTCACTCTAAAATAATGAAGAATAAAGAGTGAGAATGAAAACACACGTATGTCAATAAATTTATATAAAAGAGACTCAAAAGTGGATTCAAGTGTCTGCATAAAAACTTCCTTAAGATATATTATTTAACATTTCCTTAAGATATATTTTTTAACATTGAATAACAGAAGAAAACTTTAGGGCCTAGTTAATATTTACTACCAGCTCTTTCTAAACATTGCACAGGGCAAAAATGCTACAAATTACAGGAATATCTTTAGTGCCCTAAGCCTTTGTAAAACCGCACTGAATTTACCTTTCCACTTCACATTCCTCCTCCTGCACTTGGTCTAAGAGAGGAGGTGGGAAATCAAAAACAGTGTTGGCAGGCCGAGGTGTGCCATCCAAGGAGTCTCCAGATACTGGTGTTTCTCCAACTTGTTTTGATCCTGACAAGACAAAAGTCAGACATTTAAAGTGTTAACACTGAGGACAAGTTACTGATTACAAAAAACAAACAGGCCTCACGATCTAATGCTAATCAACTTAATCAGAGACACATTATTATCTGAACATTTGCAAGTTTGCTAGAACTGAAAGTGTAATATATAAACTTTAAAATACACAAACACATGCATACCCCTGAGAATTCATTTATAGTAGCTTTCTAAAAGCCAACAGCTGAGTTCAAAAGAGTGATTAGAAGCACCCCCCCACACCTTTCACCTTTCTACCTCCAATGTCAAATGTGGCAAACCACATTTTAAATGTCAATTACTACAGTAAATACGTGTTTACTTCTTTTTGCTGATTTGCTATCTTTTAAAAACTTCATTAGTATTAACTATACAAAGGGGGTTCCTTGTGACATTTTCAACAAGCATATAATGCACTCTGATCAAATCCATCCCCTCTGTATTACTTTTTCTTCATCGTTCTCCATTCCCCACCATTGTTTTTAAGTTTTCAGTGAGTTTCATTAGATTATTTTCAATCATATACTTAATCAACTTCTTTATTATCTTTAGGTACCATGTAGTATCTAATCTCTTTCTCCCTTGAAGATTTTGCTCACTTATAATTCTTATCTTAAATGTTCCCCCAATCCTTTATAAATATTTAATCATTAAATTATCACTAAGAAGGTTAATAGCTAAATTTAAATTATTACCTAAATGTAAATAACTAGTTTGTGTTTTTGTTCCTTCAAAGAGTTGCTATCTTAACTCTCTTCTATGTCAGATTAGGACTGAATGACTGCATCTTTCCACCTTATTACATCTCTCCTTTTGTTTTTCATTTGTCTCAAGTATAGTTTTATCTGTGTCACCAAGAAGGTCTTCTAGACTTACACTCTGCATTTGACTCCTTGTTGCTTTGATAGCATTGGAGTTTGAACTCAGAACCTTGCACTTGGTAGTGTGACATTTTGAGCTATACCTTCAGGCCTTAGACGCATAGTCTGATCTGCAGTCACAATGAAGTAGTCTGTGCCTTATCTACTGGATGGTTCTAAAAGTTGTTTAAAAACATCAATAAAGCATGCTTGCATGATAACACACATATTGTAATATTGTAAAATCACATTATCTTCAATAGTGGCCCAAAGAGATAACCCTCAGACCACGTGAAGTAGAACATTTATTAAAGTTTCATAATCTATCAGCTGCTTTAAGCTTAGGCCACATTCTAAAATTATCTTTAAGCAGTTGTACAAAGGGGTTTCAATTCAATGAGTTAGCTTATGAGTACAATGCATTGTGCCCAATGTCACCCCATACTACATATTTGCTATGGTTTTTTTGAGATAGAGTCTATCTGGGTCAGTACAAGCTGACCTTAAAACTTGTTATACAGCATAGGCTGACCTCAAACTCATGAGCCTCCTGTCTCAACTTCCCAAATGCGGGGCTTATAAACTTGCATCATCAAGCTTGGCTTTGTTTTGCTTTTGGTTTTTTTTGGTTGGGGGCTGGGGAGGGGGGTGGTCTAGGCATTATTCTCTCAGCTTTTCTGCTCAGGCCTAATACTCTACTGCTTTGAACCACAGCTCCACTTCCAGTTTTTTCTGGTGATTAGTTGGAGATAAGAGTCTCACAGACTTTCCTGCCTGGGCTGGCTTCAAATTGTGATCCTCAGATCGCAGCCTCCAGAGTAGCTAGGATTACAAGCGTGAGCCCCTGGTGCCTGACTGTTTGGTTGTTTCTAAGACAGAATCTTGTTATGGTTCCCAGGATGACCAAGAATTCATGTTTCTCTTGCATCTATCTCACGAGTGCTAGTATTATAGTTGTATGCCACAACACCTGGCTTGCTTCATGTTCAAAGCAGACTTTCTTGAGCAAGTATGTCTTTACTCTTATTCTCAATTAACCCAAAAAGCCAAATGTGGAGGTATGGCTCAAGTGGTAAAGCACCTTGAGCAAAAAAGTGAAGCAACAGTGCCAGGCTCCAACTCCAAGCCCCAGTACAACACACACACTCTCTCTCTCTCTCTCTCTCACACACACACACACACACACACACACACTCCAACTCCAAGCCCCAGTACAACACACACACACACACACACACACACACCCTACACATGAAGATTCAACTTAAATCTATCACAGGTTATACAATATTAACACATTCATATCAAATATCCTGATTAAGTTAACTACAGCACCACTCACCCATGTCGTTCTCTTTCCCTCCTTCCTGGGGGAGAGCAGCCCCTGAAACCACAGAGGACATGGGATTGGCAGGCAGGAATCCAGCATCTGCTCCTTCATTGGCTGACCCAGTCTGGCGCAACTTGGCTGAATCCTGAGGGTCAAGACTCACAGATGAGGCTGTGGACACGTGCTTAGGGTGGCGTGCTTTCTGTAGTTCCATGGCCCTGCCAACTGGACAGAATGAAATCATTAGTAATCTACACTTCAAAACAGCTTTAAGAAAGACAGAGATGATGTAACAATATCTGAAAAAAATGTGTGGAACATGGTGGGCCTACAAAATGTGAAAGGAATTATTGAAAAAAAAGAACAATAAAGAAAAGGACATGGTAAGGGAGAGGGAAGGTGACAGACAGATGGGCAAAGAGAGAAGAGGAGAGAAAAGTGGAGGGGGAGATAAGAGATGGACTAACAGAAAGGGGGAAGAGATAGTAGATGAGTCTGGGGCAAGGAAGAAGGACATGAGAAAAGGAGATGTGGAGAGCAACTATGGAAAAAGGAGAGGAAATGCTGACAGAGTCATTATCTGGAGATGCATTGTTTGTAAGAATGAGGATGAAGCACTCTGAAGTCCCACTGCTTTCCTTCCCAACACGCACAACTTCATACTCACATGCCACCTCCATCACTACATTGTCTAGAGACCCCACCCTGCTCTTCATCCATGCTCTTGTTGGTCATGACAAGAAGCACAGAAGCTCAGGTCACCACAGCACGGTAGATCCTCAGGTAGCTCTGCTCGCCCAAATTCCTAACCATCTCTCTGTATCCCTTGGTCAGTGTATTGAGGTCCTCCGTCTCTTCTATCTGCCCTCTGAAATGTTCTTCCACCTTTCTCAGTGTTTCTCAACCAGGTGTAGCACTGGCATTTAAGGATTCCTCAGGTGTAAGCTACTTGTCATCTCTATTCCTCAACAAAATTCCTACTCCCAAGCATGCCCAGATGGCAAATGTGGAACTGTCTGAGATAAGGCGCACCATACAGCTTTCCTCATCCCTGCTGAAGCCCTTTCTAATGGGCTTGTCTCTCCTAACTTGATCTGGGAGGAAAGAGATATGAACAAAGCAGAGAGGAGAAATAGAGCTTGTAGAATAATTCTGGAGACAGCAAATTACATATATATATGCACACGTGTGTGTGTGTATAAACATATAGATATAGAGAGAGAGACAGACAGACAGAGAGACAGAGAGAGAAAGACAGAGATTAAACAAAGTAAGGTTGAAAAATCCATGAGTATAAGCAATCTCAACACAAACAAAATCAGAAGAGGTAAGTAACCAAGTGTCTGGCCACGTGGTGGGATACTACCATTAACCATGAGAACTGTGACACATTGGAAGCAGCCTGAGGCACTTAGTTAACACTGTCGGAACAAGGCACAGGTTGTGCAGCGTCCCCAGCACTCACCAGCACATGGGCCGTGGGCCCGGGAGGGATGGGTGGTGGGAGCAACGTACTTGCACTGTTATCATGCCGGCTTGGTCTCCTTGGAGGTCCCAGGATGCTGGGGAATCCCCTCCGCTTGCCTTTCTCTTCGCCTTCTCTATCTTTCTTCATACTTTGCTACATGGAGGTACAAGGAGAAAGCTAAGATAAGAGATATCTAACAGAGTGGGTTTCTTTTGCTGCTCTCAAACATAGAAATACAATTTTGAACATGGGTTCAATGTAAATGAAAATATGTATGTGCATATTCAGCAGAAGCTGCCACATAGTTTTGAGGACACCTCAAACTCAAGGTATCTGCACAAACCCTTTGGAAATGAAATTTTGGAAAATAAAAAAGCAGCTTACCAGGAGCTTGCTGACTGTACAAATTTACATTTACCAGGAGTTCATTCTAAGCAATGCAGTTCACTAATACTTTTATAATGTGTGGAAAACACTGTGCTAGAACTAAAGATACAAAAATGAAGAAAGTCCTAAAAGATAAAAGTTGCAGATGGCACTCTGAAAAAACTACTATTTTCCCTTTTCACGTTCAGTAATGTTAAGCTTGCATGTTTGGATTTGCAGTAGAGTTTGAATACTTTGAGAACAGGGACTACATTTTAGACCTATCATCATACCTAGTGCTAACACGATGATTTAGAAAATATTAAGAACGAAACATACAACCATAACATGTCAGGTCTGAGACCTACCCCTCTATTGTTCCAGTCTTACCTTGATTTTTGGGAGGAATCCAATCCGACCCCGCTTGTGCTCCAAATTTCGAGGTTCTTTCACTCTGACTCCCAAATGCTTCATATACATGAGAATCACATACTGCATTGTGGAACTAGAGAGAAAGGATTATGTAAAATAAGACTTCTGAGGGGTGGTCAGCCAGAACAAAGACACCAAATGATTTCCAAAAGCCCAATGTTGGAATTCTTGAAATTAACCAAGAAAAAAAATAAAGAGCTTTCTTTCCATTCATCACTATCGCTCATTTCTGCACAGGAAAGGAAGGCGTCAAACTAGACACCAGAACATTACACAAATAAAATACAAGCCACCAGAGGGAGCCCGCAGTCTACATGTGTAAAGTTTAAATGAATAATGATCCTTTTCAGCTCCTCAGAGAAATGCTTTAAAAGACTAAGAAGGAGGTAGGAGAGAAGGGATGATAGGAGAATAACAAAGGAGGAAGCAACAATGCCTGATAGGAAATGTGTACTCATTGCCTTGCTCATGTAAATGTAACCCCTCTGTACAGTGTTTTTACAATAAAAAAGGGAGGAGGGATAAAATTATCTTACCTCTTTTCTTCTTCTGTAGCTTGAGCAGTCATCCTAAAAGTGTTTAAAAATGAAATATTTAAGCTTAATAAAACAGCTGGTCTTAAACTCAGAAACAGTGGATCACAGCTAACATTTTGTGTCCCAATCTAAATCTGTCTGCTATAATAGTGATAATTTTTAAAAAACCCCCTGGGACCTGCACTATTTTCATACATATGCTGTGTATGTGTACATATGTGACAGCGAGAACATTTCCAATGAAGGAAAGCCAGCTCAAGTATTTGCATGGTTTTGATCACCAATTACAAGTTTCAGAGTTACTTACTGACCAACACTCAGAAAAGGGAACATAAGAACTTTAATACAAAGTATCAGGAAAAACTCAAGATTCAAATATTATGATAAAATAAACAGGTCCTTATCTGTACAACCTGACCACCCTTTCAAGCACACTTGAAGGGTATTTTAAGCATAATGAGCACTGCCACACATGCCTCCATTACTTACAATACTTCTTCAATTTTAGCAACGATCTGCTCTGCACATGCCCGTTCCTTCTCCAGAGTTACCCGGTCCTTGTCTCGCTCTGCATCAAGTTTAGTCAGCTCACTGTCAGCCAAGGTCAGCCCCATACTGCGTTTCTGCCTAAAAGAACCGAGAGAAATCTGCTGGAGCAGCCTAGAGCAAAGCAGGTCCCTCTGAAAAAGTTTCAGCAGAGTCTTTATAAGCTACAAATGTCTAGGAATAGGCAAAAAAGTCAAGTTTTCTACTTCTGGGTCTATGTCACCTGGGATACCAGAGGAAAAAGACAAGACAGTCAGCCACAGAGAGACAAAATCATCAAGGAGCTGAGTGGAGTCAATCCCAGGGAGACACAATCGTGAAGAAATACTCAGACAACAGAGCCCACCATGTGGGAAGACACGATTGTGAGGACTGCTGAGCACAGGCACAGTGCAGAGCCCAGCGCTGGGAGCACATGGGCTGGAGACTGAACTCTCAGTTCCACCCCAACCCTGCAGCTTCAGATGCTCAATATGTTTCAACAACAGGGATACGACCAAGCAATTCACCTAGTGCTAAGTGTAACATTTTCTTACCTAAGAAGCAGAACGAAACTAAACTGAGACTGACTATATCAGGGATCTTATCTACCAACAAGCTTACCGAAAATCTTCCAAGTGCCTCTGAACTTCAGGGTGGACTCTTTCTTGCATAGTTTGTATATAGTGGCGATGTAGATCCTCAGGAATAAGCTCAGGTCTTCTCTTTTCTGCATAAAGAGAAAGGGATTATCTGATCTAAAGGTATATTCCATGCAACGTGGAACTGGCAACACAGCAATTCAATAGGAACAAATTTAACTTGGAGCACAGTGACAAGTCTTCAGTGCAAGACCAGAATTCAGATTTCAGTAGGTCTTAACTGTATAATAGATTTTCTTTCTATCAGTCATCCAAGGCATTAAACCAGCCACCTAGTGATAAATAAAACCTCCTGAGCTTAACTGGACAACATGTCTACAGAAATGTGATTATTCAAGATACTGATGCTCCAAACTTACCTAGATCCACAGATATTTCCTCAGGAACAGAGACTTTCAGGTGCTAAAACAAAATGTAAACAAAAGGTGAAACAGCACTACAGGCCCATTACAATGTGTATGAAGTGAAGACACAGCCTGGATACACTTGTCCATGCACTTTCACAGACAAGACATTTTATTTTATGTTTTCTTTTTATGTGGCACTGAGGAATCGAACCCAGGGCCTCATGCATACAAGGCAAGCACTCTACCAATGGGCACCTTCCCAGCAACGAGATCATTTTAGAGTTCACAGCCCTGGAACATCCTAGTGTTTAAGTTAAATAATAAACCTCTTTCCCAATATTATATTATAGTATAAAGGAAATAGCTACAATTCTTTCATTAGACAAAAGAATGAATGCTTCATCATTATGCTAATAAACATACTGGCTTTAGCACTCTAGAAATATTGGTCAATACAATCTATCATATGTTATTTGAATTAATATAAGTAAAACCAAAACTGTGTATATATGATCACGTGACAAACTGACTCATATGTAACTATGACTTTATTTCCTGGACTTGAGATACTTATCCTACAAGCCGCAGCATAACCCACTGCTTTCCTATGTAAGATGTTAAACACTCAGCAGTCACATCCCAGTAAGAAAGTGCTAGAGATTAACACTGAGTTTTAAGAGTTAAAGTCCCAGTAACCATCTGTAGTTCTTGCTACTGAATTAAGGTGACTGTCTTATAATTTACTTCCTTTCAGGTAGTACTTTCCCCCATAAATCTGCAGTTTTTGATTCTATTACCAAACTATTATCCCTTTCCCCCACCAAATTTAGGGAAATTTTTATTATTTTGTATTTAGAAGAACTATCTTAGCTTGGTTATGTTTATATTACCACATACCTATTTAAGTCATATGCTTCCTGAAATTTAAAAATTCCTATAAAGTCCTTTAAGTTTGAAAATAAGTGATTACTGAAAAAAAATGTAAGATCTTTTATATTCATTGTAAAAGCACTGAAATGGCCAAGCATGGTAAACATGCCTGTAATCCCAATGTTCAAGAGGAAGCTGAGGCAGCAGGATCAGAATTTCAAGGCCAGCTTGATCTACATAATGAGAACCTGTCTCAATGAGAACAGCTAAAAAAAGGTGAAATGGGCTTCAAAACTATCTTTAACAAAAGTTGCCAAGAAGTAACTCGAAGCCAGTTTCTTAAAAGCATTTCTAGTAAAAAATAAAGATATAAAAGTATATTTATGTTATGTGGGTATTTATATGAAATAAATATGACCTGAAGCAAAGAAGAATGACTTGCCACATTAACCAATCAGGATTCTTCTTACACTTTAATGATAATACCCTCATAGATCATGAGCAGTAAAATACAAAGTTTTGATATAGCCAGAGGGCTCTCTTAAGAGATGTTTTTTGTTTTTTTGGGGGGGGGTCCGGTCGTGGGGCCTGAACTCTGGGTCTGGGCACTGTCCCTCAGCTCTTGAGCTCAAGGCAAGTGCTCTACCACTTGAGCCACAGTGCCACTTCCGGCTTTTTTTTTCTTTTTTTTGCTTATGTGGTACTGAGGAATCGAACCCAGGGCCTCAGGCATGCAAGGCAAGCGCTCTACCATTGAGCCACCTTCCCAGCTCCTCTCTTAAGAAATGTGAAATTAAAGATGACAGTAGTGACACGGGAGGCTGAAAACTGTAGGACTGCAGTTCAAGGCTATCCCAGACAGAAAAGTTTGCAAGACCCCTTCTAAACATACAGTAGGTACAGTGATCTGTGTGTGCCTGCCATCCGTAGCTATGGGAGAGGCTGCATGGGCAGGATCATAGTACTATGCCAGTCTGGACTGAAAAATCCAAGAGACTCAATGTCCACAAAGGGAAGCTAGATAGCATGTGCCCGTGATCCTAGCAACTATGGAAAGTCTAAAAGTATGCAAAGCACCCATATTTACAAACAGTCAGTGAAAAATAGATCTGGGGCCTGGGAATGTAGCTTAGTGGTAGTGTGCTTGCCTAGCATGCATGGATGCCCTCGGTTCCATTCCTCAGTACCACATAAACAGAAAAAGCCGGAAGTGGCACTGTGACTCAAGTGGTAGAGCGCTAGCTAGCCTTGAGCAAAGGAAGCTCAGGGACAGTGCCAGGCCCTGAGTTCAAGCCCCAGTAGTGGCAGAGGAGAGAAGGGGAAGGGGAGAAGAGATTCAAACAAGCAGTAGAAAAAGAAATACCAACTGAAATGTATTTGAACATACTCAACTTTCTTCATGATAGTGTTATTTTAGTAAAAATAATTTGCAATGTTTTAAACAATAGCTATCAGAACAATAATTCATTTAATAAGTATCTGGGTCACCAGTCTGTTCCAGAAACTGTTCGAAATTGGACACAGCAACATATAAACAGAACAAAAATACTTGCCCCAGTAGAGTTTACATTTAGGGTAGAAGGGCAGGAATATAACTAAAATTAATACCCAAGAGTTCTACAGGCAAAAATGTCATAGAAACGGGGCGCTGGTGGCTCACACTTGTAATCCTAGCTACTCAAGAGGCTGAGATCTGAGGATCGCGGTTCAAAGCCAGCCCGGAAAGGAAAGTCTATGAAACTCTTATCTCCAATAAACCACCAGAAAACCGGAAGTGGCGCTGTAGCTCAAGTGGTAGAGCGCTCGCTTTGAGCTGAAGAGCTAAGGGACAGCACTCAGGCCCAGAGTTCAAGCCCCACTTCCAACCAAAAAAAAAAAAAAGTCATAGAAGAAATGACAGAATGTAAAGGTGACATTTAAGTATATTGGGATCAACGAAGGCCTCCTGAGAAGATGGTGGCAACTGTATTTAGCAATGGGGAAGTGTGTAGGTGACTATGTAAGAAATACAAATAAAATGAGGCAGCAAATTATCTGTTTGTATGTGTTTGTCTTGATACAAAAGAAATGTTTTTAATATAATGAACCAAAGCAAAACAAACAACAATAACAAACAAAAAAACTGTTGGAGGAAGAAGAGGAGATAACTGCCAGATAAAAAAGGAGGAGCTGGTACTAGAGAGAGGATATACAATTCTTTAACAGGTTGAAGAGAAAGGGCACAGGGTATGGTATGATGGAGGTTAAGTAACATATTTGGTAGAAGTTCCTTTCTCTATACTTGACATTTTCCATGAAAACTGGAAGGCAGTCAGCTGAGACAAGGTTAGGAAAGGAAGTGACTCAGGCTGAAGGACAGAAGCTGAAGCATTCATCCAAGAGACCTGCAAGCATGTAAGAGCAAGGCATGCAGCACAGTCATCCAAGGCACCGCTGCTACCCACAGCAGTGCACATAAAACAAAGCTTAAAGCTTTACTAACATTGCTATTTTTGGTAAAACAACACATTAGTATTATTTCAGTGTGAGATCTTTTTACCACTTTTTAGTTAAATTTGTGCTTCTAAGGTTCAAAGAGGCCACCTAGAGATCAATTATGTGAGAATGATACCTTGGATTCTAATATGTATCTCTATCATATATGGGTGCTCTCTTTTTTATTCCCTCATTCTAATTATAAAGACCTAAATGTATCTCATCCCCCTAAAATTTACTCTGAGAATTCATACACAGAATTAAATCACAAATTTAATCACAAATGATTAAAAAGTCAAGAGTAATCAATAATTGAAATATAATACAGATACTCAGAAGCATAAGGATGTCCAAAAACAGAAGAGGGAAGATTGGAATTAAGAGGCCAATTCAGTCAGTGTCCTAAAGCAGAGATCATAACTTGGCAACTCACCGCAGCCCGATCCAGGAAGAACTGATGAAACTCAAGGAAGACACGACGAGTTTCCTTCGAATTAGTCTGTTTATACAGGTCTGAGTAGAGGTAACAGAGCTGTCATGGAGAAGGAAAGAGAAGAGACAAAGTGAAAAATCACATAAGGGGTAATTTGCTAGATCCTCAATAAACAAGGAAGTAGTTATTACTATGTAATCAAATCTTTAAATTTTTCATTAGTAACACTGTAAGTATCTTTCATATCTATTCTTAAAGGTTTGGAAAACAAGCCTGTCCTTTTATCTAACAGATACAAAAAGTCCTACAGATGTGAATCAATAACACCAGGACACTGAACCAGCCAAATTGTAAAATGTATTACCAATGTTGCGGGGTCAAATTGTGAAACTACGTGGTGTAAGAAAACAGCCAAGTGAGCAGGGCGAGATTTCAGCAGTTCAATGCTCTGGAAGCAGCTGCACTGCCCATTGATCTAGAGGAAGGAAAGACAATTAGACGTCAAACTCATACAAATACACAAGACAGTGTAAGGTCAGTTGACCCTGACTATCCAAATTTCACTTCTGTCTCCTATGAAGGTTCAGATCTGAGATGTTCCCCCAAAGGCCCATGTATTGAGAGCTTAGCTTCAAGCTGAGAGCTGCTGGGAGGTGGAAGAAGTCTCAGACAGTGGGGCCAAGCTGGAGGAGCCTGCAGGCTGTCACTGAGAGCGGTTTGTTGCTGGGACCCTCCTCTCTAGTTTTTCCTGCTTCCTGGCCTCTGTGAGTGAAGCAGCTTTCCTCCACCACATTGTGCTGTAATGTTTCTGCATAGCCACAGACCTAAAAGCAATGGAGTCAGCCCACCTCGGGTACCAGTCCAAACCTTTATTCTTTAAAGTTGTTCTTTTAATTGGGCATTGTGTCATAGTGACAGAAAGCTGACACATCTATTTTGTTAAAAAAAAAAATCAGTATTCTAAAACTTCCACAAAGTTTACTAGCAACATAGGCTATGGAATTTCTTCTAAAAATTAATCATCTTTTGAGAATAGAAAGTAAACTACTTAGGAAGAATGGAAGTTTAGGAGATTGGCAAAAATATTTTGATAACATTTCTAAAATGTAAAGAAGGTTTTTTTTGCCCAATAATGAAATAGCTAATTTTCCTTTTCTTTCAATCTAATCACAGTACAGCAGTGGAAAATGATGCTGTATGCTTTTAAGTCAGATCCCTTAAAATTACTGTAAAACCCCTAAAAATTCTGAATATAGAAAACAAACTTAAACTATCATCCCAATTCCCACATTAAAAGTGTTTATATTTAGATAAGAACTTTAATCTAAATAAACAATATCAAATTCTGCTCAATATATGCAGAAAAAAGAAATTATTTTTGAACTCATTCTAAAAGATAGTTAACATTCCAACATTACCTAAATTAGCAAAGCCAAACAAATTACAAAAAATAAAACTATAGACCAATGTCTCTCAAGAGCACAGATGCAAAAATCCTAAGTAAAATAAAATCAAACTGATTCCACCAATATAAAAGAAGATGATATATCATGACTGAATGGGGTTTGTTCCAGCAATTCAATATCAATATATAATTTGGTATCATCTATTATATTGAGAATTATTTTAAAAATATGTAATTTCATTAATTTAAAAAAATCAACATCCACTCATGGTAAAAATTCTCAGCAGACTAAGCACAGTCTTTAACCTAATAAAGAAAAATTACAAACACCTTCAATAACATACTGAATAAGGAAGGAATGAACACTTTCTTCTGAAGATCAGGAAGAGAACAAAAATGTCTGGACATTCTAATTCAACCTCACACTGGAAATCCTAGCCAGTGCCATGAAGCAAGAAAAAGAAGTTTAGAAATTATAGAAATTGGAAGCCAGGAAATAAAACTATTTCTCTTCATAAACAGTGTGGTTGTTTATGTAGAAAAATCTCAAAAGACTATTTTTTTCCAAAGTTTAGGTCTCATTTGTCTGGTCTTGTACTCAGAATCTTCCTGCCTCAGCCTCCAAAAGCTCAAAAGACTTATTTTAAAAATTCTTACAGGGAGCCGGGCGCTGGTGGCTCACGCCTGTAATCCGGAGGCTGAGATCTGAGGATCGCGGTTCAAAGCCAGCCCGGGCAGGAGAGACCGTGAGACTCCTATCTCCAATAAACCACCAGAAAACCGGAAGTGGCGC